AAAAACGGTCCTTAGGAAGGACCCGCTCTATACCATGTGAAACAAGTGAACGGAGATGTGTGAACTATGAATGAAGGCAGTACAAATATGAAACCCTAACTGGGTTGTACCCCCTATGGGATACCCCACTACAGCCTACACAATAGTATAAGCTATAGATATGTTCTGACAGTCCTCGTCATCACTGCCCAACAACGCATCTCCGCACCTGTTGTGGACTGGGAAGCTGGGCAACACAAAAATGTTACGAGTTTTTGGGTGTATGGTACAGTACCGCCCACACACTGCACGCGCAGGGAGATTCTCGCAACGTGCACAGTGGGGTCTACACCTCGGGCTGGCAAAATATTACGAAGCATGGCGAATCTTCGACGTCCACACAAAGGAAACAGTAGCAACACGTGACGTTATCTTCTACGAGCGACTCACCCTCAACCATTACATGGACAACATCGCACGCCACGTCGACCCCACCGGCGGATTTTCTGGTTCCCGAGCCTTCGCTTCACCCTCCGATGCTGCTGACTGGGAAGAAGAGAACGTCGACGGCGCTTCCGAAGCTGCTGGACCCCTTCCTCACTGCTCCGTCCCAATCCCCATGGACGAGGAAAACCCTCGCGACAGTAACAATGCCGACGCCTACTACCATTTCGCCGACAATGGTTACGTAACACCCCAACCCGTCAACACCGACATATCTGAAAGATACGGCCCCGGATTCGCACCTGATCCTGAAGCGGGAGACGAAGCAGTCTATCCCGAGGACCCTTTGCTGAATCGTCACACCCCCAGCGGACTCCAAGTCCTGGGACTCGTCGCTGCAGTGCACGGGCCTTCGTCGCCACCTGAAGAGCCTCGCTCTGTCAAGCAGGCTCTGGGGGGGGAACACAAAGAAAAATGGCGCGAAGCCATGGAAAAGGAGTTAAAAGCGCTCTCAGACCGCAACACCTGGAAGATCGTCCCTGCATCACTCGCACAAGACAAACCCATTCTCTCCGGAAAATGGGTATTCCGGATCAAAACCAACTCCGACGGAACCATCGAACGGTTTAAAGCTCGATGGGTCGTCCGCGGATTCGACCAAGAGTATGGTCGCGATTTCACTGAAACCTTCGCACCAGTCAGTCGACATACTTCCCTGCGCATACTCCTCGCCATCGCCGCCTCACGCCGCCGCCCACTCCGACAAATCGATGTCGCCAACGCCTTTCTATACGCCCCAGTCGACGCTGAAATCTTCGTCGAACAGCCCCACGGGTTCGTCGACGACCCTTCCCTCGTCTGCCAACTACTTAAATCACTATACGGAATTAAGCAGGCACCGCGACTCTGGCAGCAGTACCTGCACGCACGACTCAAACGCATCGGATTCAACCAATTGCCCCATGACCAGGGCATGTATCGTCTCACTCGCGACAACGACTACGTTCTGCTAATCGTCTACGTCGACGATTTGCTTTACATCGGGTCAACTACCACCATCGTCACCTGGTTCGAAAAAGAGCTTCAGACAGATCTCTCCCTCACAGTCTCACCCAACGTCACGCAGTATCTAGGGCTCAACATCCTCGATGAAGACAACACTATTCGTCTCAGCGCCTCAAAATACGCAAGCACTATCGCCGAACGCTTCTCCATCACACCGACGCACATCGCAACACCCTACAGTCACCTATCGCTCGATCCAACCGAAGAAACCAACCCACTGCCGCCTGCTGAAATCCAGGAATATCAACAGAAACTGGGCTGCCTACTCTTTGCCGCCGTTACGTGCCGACCGGACTTATCCTACAGCGCCAGTCAACTAGCGACCTACCTCAAGCGCCCAGAACAACGTCACCTCAAGGAACTCAACCGCGCCCTTCTCTACTTCATCTCAACGGCAACAGTTGGCTTAACATATCACAAGAACACGACGACCGATCTAAAACTACTCGGCTACGTTGACGCTGATCATGCTGCTGATCGTGTCGATCGTCGCTCTCGCACCGGCTACATCTACCGTCTTGAGCCCGTCGGAACTATCTCCTGGCAATCAAGTAAGCAGGAACTCGTCGCACTATCATCTGCTGAAGCAGAGTATATTGCTCTCTGCACTGCTACCAAGGAGGGCCTGTACCTGCGCGAACTGCTGGAAGAAGCAAAAATTGCGAAAGTACCCAGCTTCTCGCTTTTCTGCGACAACCAGTCCGCGATACGGATCGCGAACAAGAATGGCTTCGCCAACAGAACCAAGCATATCGCACTGCGATACTTCTTCGTGAAAGACGAAATTGAGAAAGGAAAACTCCAGCTGGATTACTGCCCGACCACCGAGATGGCAGCAGATTATCTCACCAAGAAGCTACCAAAGGGGAAATTCGAGTACTGCATGCTGCTCACCGGATTGGACCACGTCACCGAAGCTGACCACATCGACACTCCAGAAACGAAGGGGAGTGTTGGGAAAATAAACGCATGACTTAGTGCGTTTCTGTAGTATCGAACCTCACCCGATACTGAAGTGTCAGAATATTATTCTTATGTTCTAGCCTGTAGTGGGGTGCTCTATAGCGAGTACAACCCTTCTAGGGTTTGCTATTTGTATCCCCATTTCTGCTAGTTCATTCCTCTTTCTTTCTTCAAACTTTGTCATGCTATCAGAGCAGGTCGATCCCCTTGGATCGATCCTGTGGGTGGGTTACCACCTCGCTTCCGCTGCTACTTTTTCCTCCCGCCGTGCGCCCCGAGGCGCGCGGCGGTTTTCTGCCCGCCGTGCGCCCCGAGGCGCGCGGCGGTTCTTTGCCCGCTGTGCGCCCCGAGGCGCGCGGCGGGCTTCTGCCCTACGTCGCGGCCCCGCCCTGCGTCGCGGCCCAGCCCCTCGAAGCGGCCCCGACCGTCGCGGCCCCGCCCCTCGACGCGGCCCCGCCCTACGTCGCGGCCCCGCCCTGCGTCGCGGCCCCGCCCCTCGAAGCGGCCCCGCCCTATGTCACGGCCCCGCCCCGACCGTCGCGGCCCCGCCCCTCGACGCGGCCCCGCCCTACGTCGCGGCCCCGCCCCTCGAAGCGGCCCCGCCCTGCGTCGCGGCCCCGCCCCTCGAAGCGGCCCTGCCCTACGTCGCGGCCCCGCCCCGACCGTCGCGGCCCCGCCCTACGTCACGGCCCCGCCCTGTGTCGCGGCCCAGCCCCTCGAAGCGGCCCTGCCCGACCGTCGCGGCCCCGCCCCTCGTCGCGGCCCCGCCCCTCGTCGCGGCCCCGCCCCTCGTCGCGGCCCCGCCCCTCGTCGCGGCCCCGCCCCTTGTCGCGGCCCCGCCCTCCAACCAGGCCCGTGGTGGGCCCCTTTCACCACACCGCCTCCCCCCCCCCCCCCCCCCCCCCCTCCCCTTGCCATTTCCCGTCGCCCGTCGCGGCTCCTTCGGGGGCGAGCTGTGGGGTGGCGGGTATGGGGGTGCTCGGTGTGCCTTCCTCCCTTTGCTCCTCCTCCTCCTTCGTCTCCCACTGCTGCAGCTGTCGCTGAGGGGGGTGGTTGTGTGGGAGACTCGGGTTTAGGGTTTAAGAGGGGTGCGTGGGAGTGCAGCTAGCGGTGTAGCAGTGGGTGTGCATCAGGGGGGTGGGACTGTGTGCGGGAGGTTGAGTGGAGGTTGTCAGTTTGTCGTTCGCAGCACCTGTAGTCCGGGGCGCTGTCCCGGTAGCCCAGTCGTAGCCAGCTGTGCCAGCCGCCCGTGGGTCCGTTGCCCGTCCGCCGCTATTTGAGCCGCGGGGCCTGTTACTCCTGTAGTCCGGGCGCTGTCCGGTAGCCGCTGTGCCAGTGTGCCTCCTGTTGCCCGTGTGCCTGCAGCTTCAGCCGTCGCCTCCTATCTCCTCTCCCCTCACTCTCTCTCCTCCTCCTCACTTGCCCGTTGTGACTACCACTAGCTCTGCTCATAATTGTGAACTCTAAACTATCTCTTCTTGAACTTGTGCTCAGAATGTGTGGTGACATTGTGATCCACCCTGAGCTTGTACTACTTTGCCTGCTCTGCTGATTACACCCCACTTTGGCTATGGGGGTGTGTCAGAATATTATTCTTATGTTCTAGCCTGTAGTGGGGTGCTCTATAGCGAGTACAACCCTTCTAGGGTTTGCTATTTGTATCCCCATTTCTGCTAGTTCATTCCTCTTTCTTTCTTCAAACTTTGTCATGAAGCACAACAAAAAGGAGTACGAAGTCGAAAAGGCGCGTACCACATCAAAACCGCAACTGGAGGTTGCGAGCTGTAACCGCCTGGAGGTTACGTAACAGCAAGCGACGCTTCAGTGAACAGTAACCACCTCGATAGTCGAAGCGTTACGCGTCTCGATAAACATAACCGCTTCTTGTAATCTATCTTTTCTATATATTCCTGTATGCCCTTTGCTTTAATCAATTACTTGTTCTCACATACCAGCACAAGTACATTCACTCAAGACTTCCGCTGTGCTACTCTAGCACTTACTAGCCTATTCTCTGCAAAGATCCTAAGGCTGAAATTCTCAGCCCAACAGCCTTCAACTAAACGACCTATAGCTAGCTTAGGGAACATTCATGCCTTGACACTTGTGTCTCAAATGTATTGTGACGTGCAAAAACCACATAGTACGTGCTATGTCACAAACGTGTGTCGCCCTAATGCGAATGTAACCCCATTTTACACTGGTCAGCGTCATTTGCACCGGTGTCGCGGACGAGTTGGACGAGGCCCCGTCACCTCCCTGAAATCGCATGAAACGACCAATGTCGGGCAATTGCATTGCCCGACCGCATGCATCTGGACACTGGACGACATGACATTTTAGCGTGGGAAACAAATCCGCCATCCATGGGCAGCCTCGAAAGGGGTTTCCTTGTTGGTGTTACACGCCAGGCTGCCCGACGAAACCACCCCAGATCTTGAGCCACCTCTCCATCCTACTTCCAGGATGACTCCAAGCCCATCTTGTTCAGCATCCATTCCCTGTTTCTTACATCTTAGTCTCGCTAGATCTCAATCCCTCTACCACCCATGGCGCGCAAGCGTAAGAGCGCCGCTGAAGCCGCCAACGTGTGCCCGCGGGATCTCAATGAGATCCCGTATATTGCTTGGATGAACAAGCAGCTGTCCGCCGGTCGCAAGCCATCTGGCCCGCAACCAGTAGGAACTCCTTCGCGTGGCGACACCTCTTACCAAGCCCCACGTGACGTCCCGACGCGCGGGCGCCGTGACGCTGACTGGGTGGCATCGTCGCGCAGTCCCGAAGTTAACACGTATGGAGTAGAAGACGACGACGCCGACTACAACGAGGAGGCCGATGGCACAGACGACGAGGCTGACTCCCGGGAAGAGGATGACAAGGGCATGTCCGACTCTGATGCCATCGCGGACGGCGATGACACGAAGACCGACGACGAGGACGCACCGGAGGAATCGCAGCCTGCTACTCCGCCAGTTTGCCGCGGTCCTGCTAAGGCGGCGCCGGGAGTCAAGAACGCCGCCAAGGGCGGGGAGCCACCTCGACGCGCGCCAAAGATCCGCGACCCCATGCCGGTGAAGCGCAGCGTGTGGTCGCCCCTGTCAGAGGTCCACTGAAGATCCCCAGTTGATCCTAGGGAAGGGTTACAGACACGTTGGCCTGGGGGGTATGGTCGCACTCACCCGCTATACAAATAAGCCCTTCTATCCCAGTGGTTAGTGGCTGGGATTCTAACATGGTATCCGAGCGAAGGTTTCGGGTTCGATTCCCAGTGTATGCACCTCGGGCATCCCAGTGCGGAGGGGTGTCAGAGGAACACTGGAGATCCCCGGTTGATCCTAGGGAAGGTTTACAGGCACGTTGGCCTGGGGGTTTATGGGCGCACTCACCCGCTATACAAATAAGCCCTTTTGTCCCAGTGGTTAGTGGCTGGGATTCTGACAGCCCCTGGAGAGCACGATCCTCGTGGCCGCCCGCTGGTTCACGAAGGATGAGCTTGAGCCGCTGCTGGGGAAGCAGGGGTCCCAGTATTGGGCCCGCCTTGTGCGACACCTCGAGGCCGAAAATCCTGGATGGGTCCGCGGCGTCAACGCCGTGCAGAAGCAGTGGCGCAACCTCGTCTCCATGTTCAAGCAGTTGCAGAAGGCGGACAAGGCGTCCGGTAACGGTGTGGTCTGTAAGCCGCCGTGGTGGCCGTACATAGAGTTATTTCAGAACAACCATGCAGTGGCGCCGCCGCTACGCCGACATTCACGGGTGAGGGCTCTCTTTGTCAAATGGGTTTGTTCGTTTTGGTTTAGATTGCGCAAATTAGCAACAACACTTCCGGAAATTAGGGATCATGTAATTCATAGCAACAACATGACAGCGCATCCGTGTGTTAACAACCTTTGCTCTGTGAACGTGCAGCCCCCCCTCCGGTGACACCTCCCTCTAAGCGCCCGCGTGTTGCACAGACGCTACCATGGCCGCGGCCAAGCTGGTCTCCGACACCATCAAGGGTTGCCACGCGGATGCGATGGCAAAGCTCGAGGGGCTCGTTTGCGCCTGGATGCAGCAAGACGCCGAGATTGCCCGCGCCCGCAACCAGGGTACGACCCCACTGCCACCAACCGTCAGCGGAGTTCCCGTGGATCAGCCACGCAGCCCGCACCGACCGCCGCGGAAGGCGACGGTGGAGGATGGTTCCGTCGCGGTGATGCCGGTGGTGTCGGAGCTAGTCCGGACGAGGCCGAGGAAGTGTGGGTTCGTGGCGACGCCGAGTAAGGTAAGACAAATCCGATGCTTCGCCGAGCCTCTTCCGCCTTTCACGCAATGTCACCCGGTTGCATGGCACGACCGGCTCCCATTTGAAATCTGCAACTGCGCCGCGGGTCCACCAAGGATCCCGGTTCCGTGGCAAGTTTGCCCACGCCGCATTGACGCGCCTCACATCCCCCATCGTCTCACACATGTTGTGCAGGATTACACAACAAAACGCCCCTACAAGCACGCGCCATAGCTTGCAGTCATTGCGGCCTGCGAAGAGCCTCCACCTGCGTTTGAATGCGCCGATGTAGTGCTCTACTGTCAGATTTATATGACATAGCTATTGTAGGCTATAGTGGGGTAGCACATATGGGGTACAGCTTTCTAGGGTTTGTATTTGTACCCAACTTTCACTTAGTCATTCCATTATCGTTCAAACTTTCTCATGGTATCGAGCAGGTTCCCTCGCGGGAACTGTGCCTAGGGCCCACCACATCGAAATATTTTTTTTTATTCCCCGAAGTGCGCTCCCCTCTCTCCCCTCGTCGAGCCGCCCTAGCGGCCCCGTCTATCGCCCCTAGCGGCCTCCCTTGCACCGCCCTTACGGCCCGTCGCGGCCCTCACTCGGCCCGTCGCCGCCCCTTCACGGCCCGTCGTCGCCCTCCTTTGCGGCCCCGCCGCCCTCCCTTGCGGCCCGTCGCCGCCCTCAGTTGCGGCCCCATCGCCACCCTCACCTGCAGCCCCGCCGCCCTCGCTTGCGGCCCCGTCGCCGCCCTCAACTGCGGCCCCATCGCCGCCCTCACCTGCGGCCCGTCGCTGCCCTCACCTGCGGCCCCGTTGCCGCCCTCACCTGCGGCCTTTCGGCGCCCTCGCTTGCGGCCCCGTAGCCGCCCTCAGCTGCGGCCCCGTCGCCGCCCTCACCTGCGGCCTTTCGCCGCCCTAGCTTGCGGCCCCGTCGCCGCCCTCAGCTGCGGCCCCGTCGCCGCCCTCACCTTCGGCCCGTCGCCGCCCTCACCTGCAAAGCCGCCGCCCTCAGTTCCGGCCCCGTCGCCCTCACCTGCGGCCCGTCGCCACCCTCACTTGCGGCCCCGCCGCCCTCAATTGCGGCCCCGCCGCACTCACCTACTGCAGCGCCGCCCGCCGCCCGAGCCGCTCGAGCCGCCTCACCCAGCCGAGCCGCCGACCGCCGCGCCGCCCTACAGCAGCACAACCGAGCCGCCCAGCAGCAGAGCAGCCGAGCCGCCCAGCCGCCGAGCCGCCCTGCCGCCGATCCGCACTGCAGCCGAGCTGCCCAGCCGCCCACCAGCCGAGCCGCCGTGCAGCCGAGCCGCCCAGCAGCCGAGCCGCCGAGCCGTCGAGCCGCCCTACCGCCGAGCCGCTCGAGCAGCCCTGTCCGGTGAGCACAACCCCTCTGTCACTGCACTGCCCTTCCCCTACGGCTTGCACTGCTGGTCTACTGTTGGCATGGCTACCCCTAGTGTCCTCGCTTTTGACACTGAGGGTCGAGCCATTGACTTTGAGGTCTGGGTCGACGACCTGCAGCTATTCTTACAGTGCGATAGGGCAGACGGTCTCTCTCTCTTTGACCTCACCTCTGGCGCCTCTCCTGCTCGTGCTGCTGATGCTGACCCCACTGTTCGCTCCCAGTGGGCCACGCGTGATGCTGCTGCACGTCTTGCTGTGCGTCGCCACCTGCCTACCACTGAGCGCGCGCACTTTAGTCAGTACAAGAGTGCTCAGACCTTGTACGACGCTGTAGTTGCGCGCTACTCTTCCCCTGCCACTGCTGCACTGAGCCGCCTCATGCTACCGTACCTCTTTCCTGGCCTTGCTGCCTTTCTCACATTCGCTGACCTCATTACGCACCTCCGCACTAGTGACACTCGCTACCGCGCCGCGCTTCCTGCTGAGTTCTGCGCCAAGAACCCCCCCCCCATGTACATCACTCTCTATTATATAGTCACCCGCCTCCCTGACTCCCTTCGTGTAGTCAGGGACCACTTCCTCTCAGTCTTTCCCACCACTCTCACTGTCGACCTCCTAGAGAAGGCCCTCCAAGCAGCGGAGAAGAGCATAGTCGCTGTAGGAGCCTCTCGTGGTGACCCTCGCACCCCCATCTTTGAGGGGTGTTCCCCTTCCCCCCTTCTGCCCTCTGTCGCCTCTGCCGCTGCGGTAGACCTCGTTGATCTTGAGTCGGTCGGTGCAGCGTCTGCCCCTAGCGGGAGACGCCGCTCTGGCAAGGGCAAGGGGGGCAAGGGCGCGGGTAGAGCTAGCGGGGGTGGTGGAGGCAGCGGTGGAGGCGGCGGAGGGAGTGGGGGTGGCGGTGGGAGTGGTGGCGGGGGTGGAGGTGTCGGCGGCAGCAGTGGAGGCGGAGGCGGCGAAGGTGGTAGCGGTGGGAGCGGAGGCGGCGGTGGTGGCGGAGGTGGAGGAGGCGGTGGTGGAGGAGGTGGAGCTGGTCGGGGTGGCGCTTCGCAGCGGAGCGGCTCCGGTGGTGGTCAGCGCCAGCAGCACCACCGTTCTCGGGACATCCCCCCCCCTCAGCAGCTCGGTGAGTGGTACGCGCAGCGTCAACGTGGTGGGGGTTTTGGTCCGTGCACCTACGTCCTTCGCTCCGACGACCGCGCGGGTGAGCAGTCTGGGGGTGCCCACCCCACCCAGCGCTGCTTTGGCCGCCTCACAGACGCCTGGCGTCAGCAGTTCCTGGAGGCTAGTGAGATCCCCTGCTGGGGAGAGCTGTATAGGGCTGGTGTAGCTATCTATGATCTTGACTTCGATACTATCCTTGCTGCCATGTATGCTGTGACTATTAGTGATGAGGGTGACTGTTACCGCCGTGCAGACGAACTGCGCGAGTGGTTTGCCCGGCGCTGGAGGCGTAATGCAAGAGCTTCTTCGGCCGCTGAGGGTGCTGGTGCCGCTGGTCCCGGAGGTGCTCGTCCGACTGGAGCTGGAGCTGCTGGGGGTGTTGGCGTCGAGGCTACTGCTAGACTACGCTGCTAGTCTTGTTGCTGAGTCTGCGTCGGTCTGTCCTCCGTCCGCCGGGGGTGAGTGTGCTCTTGGCACGGACGTCCTTGAGGACAGGCAGGAGGAGTTCTAGTGTCTTGCTGCTGCTTCACCTCATCTCGCGTCCGTACTGCTTACCCCTGAGGGAGACCCGGATGCACTTGACATCCCGACTCCGCGCTCTTACGCGGAGGCCGTAGAGGGTCCCTACTCCTCTCACTGGTAGGCAGCTATGGATGCAGAGATGGCTTCCTGGAAGTCCACAGGCACCTACGTTGACGCGGTTCCCCCTCCTGGGGCGAACATCGTTAGTGGCATGTGGATCTTCAGGGTGAAGCGCCCGCCAGGTTCTCCACCTGTCTTCAAGGCCCGGTACGTGGCTCGTGGCTTCAGGCAGCGGCAGGGAGTTGACTACTTTCAGACCTTCTCTCCCACCCCGAACATGACCACTCTTCTGGTGCTGCTACACATAGCAGCTCAGCGTGACTACGAGCTTCACTCCCTTGACTTCAGCACTGCTTTCTTGCAGGGTAGCCTGCACGAGGAGATCTGGCTGCGCCGTCCACCTGGCTTCACTGGGACTTTTCCTTCTGGCACCCAATAGAGCCTCCGACGGCCAGTCTATGGTCTCCGCCAGGCACCGCGTGAGTGGCACGACACACTGAGGACTACACTTGCGGCTCTTGGGTTGCTCCCTCTACTGCTGACCCGTCGCTGTTTCTACGCACCGACACCTCTTTGCCGCCGTTCTACATCCTCGTGTACGTCGACGACTTGGTCTTTGCCACTGCTGGACTCGCCCACGTGAAGTCCGAGCTGCAGAAGAGACACAGGTGCACAAACCTGGGTGAATTGCGCAGCTACCTTGGCTTGCAGATCACCCGGGACAGAGCACGCCGCACCATTACCCTGACTCAGTCACACATGGTGCAGCAGGTTCTTCAGCGCTTCGGCTTCACGTACTCCTCGCCTCAGGCCACTCCTCTGTCTACTCGCCACTTGTTCTCAGCTCTGCCTTCGGATGAGTCCGTAGAGTCGAGTGGCCCGTACCCAGAGCTTGTTGGCTGCCTCATGTACCTGATGACCTGCACACGACCGGACCTTGCATACCCTCTTAGCATTCTCGCACGCTATGTTGCTCCTGGGAGACACAGACCAGAGCACATGGCTGCAGCGAAGAGGGTGTTGCGCATATTGTGCAGTGCGTCGGGCATGGGGCTAGTGCTTGGAGGGCGGAGTCCAGTGGTCCTCACTGGGCACGCGGACGCTTCTTGGGCTGACGACCAGGCTACGCAGCAGTCGTCACAGGGTTACACCTTCAGCCTTGGTTCCGACTCTGTTTTGTGGCGGGCTACTCGCTTGTCTTCTGTTCTCGGCTCCAGTTGTGAGGCTGAGATCTACGCCGGGGCCATGGCTGCACAAGAGCTTCGCTGGCTCACCTACCTGCTGCTGCACATAGCCGCTCAGCGCGACTACGAGCTTCACTCTCTTGACTTCAGCACTGCGTTCTTGCAGGGTAGCCTGCACGAGGAGATCTGGCTTCGCCGTCCACCTGGCTTCACTGGGACTTTCCCTCCTGGCACCCAGTGGAGCCTCCGACGGCCAGTCTACGGTCTCCGCCAGGCACCGCGTGAGTGGCACGACACACTGAGGACTACGCTTGCGGCTCTTGGGTTTGCTCCTTCTACTGCTGACCCGTCGCTGTTTCTTCGCACCGACACTTCCCTGCCGCCGCTCTACATCCTCGTGTACGTCGACGACTTGGTCTTTGCCACAGCGGACACTGCTGGACTCGCCTACGTGAAGTCCGAGCTGCTGAAGAGACACACGTGCACAGACCTGGGTGAACTGCGCAGCTACCTTGGCTTGCAGATCACTCGGGACAGAGCACGCCGCACCATTACCTTGACTCAGTCACACATGGTGCAGCAGGTCCTTCAGCGCTTCGGCTTCACGTACTCCTCGCCTCAGGCCACTCCTCTGCCTACTCGCCACTCACTCTCAGCTCTGCCTTCGGATGAGTCCGTAGAGTCGAGTGGTCCGTATGCAGAGCTTGTTGGCTGCCTCATGTACCTGATGACCTGCACACGACCTGACCTTGCATACCCTCTGAGCATTCTTGCACGCTATGTTGCTCCTGGGAGACACAGACTGGAGCACATGGCTGCAGCGAAGAGGGTATTGCGCTACCTGTGCAGTACGTCGGGCATGGGGCTAGTGCTTGGAGGGCGGAGTCCAGTGGTCCTTACC